AACTGGTCGTGGAACATCTCTTTCATTTGATTTTGGTCTAGATCTTTCTCATCATTTTCTTCTCTATGCATCATCAAACAATATCAAACATCAACATCTAGCACTTGCTACTTATTTTATCTTCTTATTCAAATTAACGAATGGTGAAAAAGATTTATGTATTGCAATGAATATCGACAATCGTTATAGAGATGAACTAAAATCTATTATCGGACTATTTGAGAATGTTGTTCCATTACGATGTCAACTAGATCCTCATTGGTCTTTTCATCAATTAACGAAGAATGTTCATCAGACTACAATAAATAGTATGAAATATTCATATTTCCCCCTTCAACGTATTCTCAATCAACATTCAAATGTTTCCAAACCAGTATTTGTTGGTATATCCTTTGACTTTCTATCATCTATGACAACAATTGACAATGAACTGATCATGATTGGTGATAGTCAACTTTCTTCCATCCCTTTCACAATGAATAATAATGGTAATCAGATTAAATATAAGAATGATTTCTCACTTCTAATTCGACATGATCTTCATGTCAATCAACTCTTATGCACAATCAATGCATCACTTGACTTGTTCCATCGAGAGACAGTAGAGAAGATTTCACAACAATTTCATTCCATTCTACATCAATTGTCTGCATCCATTATTGATAGTGAAATAAACAAACCGATCTGTGAATTATCATTAGTGTTATCAAATGAACAATATTTAATACAATCAATGAATAACACACAAATACCATTTCCGTCTCCTCTCACTTGTATTCATCATGAGTTTGTGTATCAAGTAATGAGACATCCACAAAAACTAGCAGTTGAACTTGATGAACAATCTCTAACATATTGTGAACTCTTACATTATGTTCAAATATTATCTTTAACTCTTCTTAATGAATATCATGTTGTTCCAGGTGAAGTTGTGTGTCAATGTGTCGAGAGAAGTTTATCAATGGTAAGTTAATTAGAAGAAATAATCTATTATTATTATTTATCTTTAATCTCTAACTATAGATTATTGGTTTATTATCAATTGAGATGGCTGGTGGTGTATATTGTCCATTATCACCAGAAAATCCGGAACAACGTCTTCAAAATCTTGTAGAACAAACACAAGCTCACATTATACTTGTTCATTCATTAACAAATCGAATATTTAAAAATGATTTTATTACACATGATATTGATACAGCTATAAACATCAATGATAAAACTACAAATGATGATCTTTATCGATTATCAAATATTTCAGTAACTCCAAATAATATATCATATATTGTTTTTACAAGTGGCTCAACAGGAACACCAAAAGCGGTTTGTTTAGTATAGTTTTTAAAATTATTCTTTTATATATTTATATATACCTAGGTTCAAGTACGACATCGTAACTTAACTGCTTATATGCGAAGTCTTGTCAAAATGACTGTGTTTAAAAAAAGTGACAATATAATACAAATGGCAAGCTGTTCTTTTGATAATCATTTTCAAGATATTTTTGTAACATTAATGATTGGTGCTGGTTTAGTTATGTTACATCCTCATGGTAATAAAGATTTAATATACTTTACTCATGTATTATTGGACAAAGAAGTGACTGTTTTGGAAGCTGTACCAAGCTATCTCGATATATTATGTCAATATCTTGAAATACAAAATGCAAATGAATGTTTAAAGAAATTGCGAACATTGAGTAGTGGAGGTAAATCTATTCACATTGAATATTTTTATTGAGAAACAAAAGGACTTATTTCATTTCTAGGTGACGTTTTAACAAATCAAATAATGCCACGTTTAAGAAAATATACTTCTGGTCCATCATCATCGTCATTATTGGATGGCTGTCGACTATGGAATACGTATGGACAAGCCGAAGCAACAATTACTTCGACATACTTTCTAATAGAATTCGATTTTGATTGTAACAAACAAGTGATGTCAATTGGAAAACCACTTCCTTACTTTCATTGTGTAGTTATGGATGAATATTTTCAATTTGTTGGTGTTAATCAAGAAGGTGAACTATTTGTTGGTGGTGCATGTGTATTCGCTGGGTATTTTCGTCGTGATGATTTGACTGCAAAAGCTCTTCTTGAAATAGATGGGCACCTATTCTATCGAACAGGTGATCTTGTCACATTAGATGACAATAGTCTTCTTTATTATCAAAGGAGAAAAGATCATCAAATCAAACTACATGGACAAAGAATTGAACTTGGTGAAATCGAACGATGTTTACTTAATATCACATCGATCTCTGCTTGTGTTGTGACGAAATGGAATGATGACTATTTAGTTGCATATGTTCAAAGTTCTGATATTAATGAACAGAAATTGCGTGAACATTGTCAGTCTCATCTTGCACCACATATGGTTCCATCCGTCTTTATTATACTTGATAAACTACCTTTGAATCAGAATGGAAAAGTAGACAGAAAACAACTTCCTTCACCTCGCTTCTCATCTACAAATGTCGTAAACAGTATAGAACTATTACTACCAACAAATGATATTGAAGTTCGTATTCATCATATTTGGTGTGAAACATTCAAACAAAATCAAATATCAATTGATACAAATATCTTTACTATTGGTGGCCATTCATTACTTTTGATGCAACTTTTTCATCGATACAAAACGCAATTTCGTCTAGAACAAAAGCAAAGTAGTTTCTCAATATCTGACCTTTTTCAACATCCAACAATTATTCATCATGGTCAACTCGTTCAGCAGTCTGTTGATAATATCTATACTTTTGATCACTCTCATTGGTCATCATTACATCTCATTCAAGGTAAACAAAGCTACTTAAAACACATGCTATTATCAACTATATGTATTTGTCTTTTTCTCTCATTCTAGCTAGAGCATCATTTGCACAAGAACGAATCTATTTAGATGAACAAATTCGTTTTTCATCTAAGGAAACGATGAATAATATGTATGTTATTCCATTAATTTATCGAATATCATCTATGAATGATCATATATCTATTTCACGATTACAACATGCATTTCAATCTATCATTTCAAAACATGAAAGTCTTCGAACGGCACTCTATCTTGATACAGATGGCCATATCATACAACATTGTTTAGATACAAATGCTATTATCAATGATAAGAAAGCACCTCGATTTTTGAAGATTAATCTTCCTCATGAAGAGTATGAACAGGATGAAATTGTAAAAAAGATATTAAATTCACCAGATTTATTTGATTTATCAAAAGGACATGTGATTAATTGTCATATTCTTCGTCATCAGCAATCAAATCATCTATTCACTCAGAATAATGATGATCTATTAACTAAAGATGATATCATAATGTTTACTATTCACCATGCAATGTTTGATGGAGCATCAGAACCGATCTTCATTCATGATCTTTCTCATGCTTATCGATCTAGTGACCTGCTCCGTACAGATGATAATTTATTACAATATATTGACTATTCTATTCATGAACACATAATGGATATGACACTAGCTCAACAATTCTGGCAATTAGAACTCAAAGGACATAACCTTGTACGACATTTACCATTACCTGTTGATCGACATCGCGCATCAAATGATCAACAACGATCAGGTTTAGCATCCACATCGGAAATCATTTTTGATAATGAATTATGCACATCATTTCTCAACTATGCATCATCACATCATCTCACACTCTTTCAACTTGGATTATCCATATTTTATGTCTTTCTATTCAAACTAACTCATGGTCAAAGTGATCTATGTATTGGTTCGATTAATGCTAATCGATATCGAAGCGAACTAGTGAATATGATAGGAATGTTCGTTTCAACATTACCATATCGTTTTGAACTTGATCCGCATTGGTCTTTTGATGAAGTAGTGAAGTATGTGCAACAGAAATGCTTATCAATTCTTGAACATTCACATTATCCACTACAGCATATTCTTGGTGATAATCGGTCAAATCAATCGAATGCATCATTTCTTGAGATAATATTCGACTTCATTAGTGTGTCAGAAGATATCGAACATTTATGTTTGAATGGTACAAATTTAGAACAAATATCATTAGAAGGAATAGCTGAAATGGCTAAATTTGACTTCTCATTAACATTTGTCTACAATCTATTATCTGATAACAAGAAATTGTCATACTATTTTGTTTGTTCACATGATCTGTTTGAAAGTTCAACTATTTCAAAGATAGCCCAAAGATTTCAATACATGCTTGAGCAAGCGTTTCAAACAAAATCCAGTAGCACTGCTATGGTCAATAGGAATTCATCAATTAAAAAACTGTCTCTTATTCTCCCTGAAGAAGCTGAAGAAATGGAGTTAGTTGTGTTTCACCGATTGCAGAGTGTTGCGGATAAAGGTATGATTATTTATTCCTTCTCTGTCTTTAGGAGGAAAGCTTATAGATATCTGTGTGTTTTTTTATATTACTAGAGGAAGTAGATACGTCACTGATTCTATCTTCAACGAGTTTCTGTAATGTCGCCAACTTAGATTTTTAGCAACGACATATTTATAATTGATGAAGTTTTCTCCAAAATGCATCTTTTGGTATTTGTAGAACTATGACTGAACTAAATTAAGGATAGAATATTCAAGCATCACAGTCTTGTAATTTATATGGATCCTAAAAAAGGAAGAACAGTATATTATTTTTACTAATTTTCTTCTGGTTGTAGTTTTTTTTGTATACTAAGATACATTCTTTTATATAAGCATCGTCTAAAGTTATTCTATTTCACATAAAGTGAAAAATAAACCTCTTCTACATATAACAATAAAATAAGTTTTACTCCAATAAATAAGAGCTTTTGAGAATTAACTATCTCTTTATTATTGGCTGAGTGTGTATTTGTGGATGTAGATGCAGACGTTGATAAGGAACACGTCGTAATCGATGTCAACACTTTCTTTACATCCGCATTTTTGCCCACTCCTACTCTATATATCAGTAGCAATATCTTCTATCGATGTGAAGCTAGCACCACGAGTAGCTAGCACCACCAAAAACAAATTCCTTGTTAGCAGTAATAGTTGTTACAACGTTACTGCCAACGTATTTGATCACGCTCGTGATCAAAACTTCTACATACTCCCTCCCCCCTCTTAGTGTCCTTGTAGTTTCTCACTAGTTTCTATTAGTTCTTCTCTTATCTCTCTCCCGATATATTTTTCTCTCTTTTTGTTTTCTCTCTTTTTGTTTTCTCTCTTGTTCATGTTTAGTTAGCCAGTTCATCTTTTGTCCTAGTTTTCATCACTTGCCTTTTCCCTTATCTATCCCGTCTCTTCCTTTTCATCCCTTCTCACTATCATTATCTTGTCCCTTGTTTTTTCCCGTTTATTTTCTTTCATAAAATAAACATTTGTTTGAAGATCTCAAGGTAAGATCAGTTTTTCATTTCGTTTCCGCTTCGTATGTTATATACAGAGATGAGGACCTAACATTCCTATTGGCCGAAAAATTAACCAATCAGAAAAATCAAAACCATGATACTCCATCATGGAGGACAAGAATTGGACTATGGTTTCCTTAGCAGCCCAATTGAAAATGCATATTTACATATGTACGCGAGCAACAAACCGCAACCAATTACTTTCACAACAAAAAATAAAAGAATATCAAACATATCGCCTTCTCTAATAACTTCACATCAAACAAATATAATATCATTCACTAAACTCTACATATCACCAACAACTATGAACACACTTTTGTTTATCAAACTTTCTCCGGCAAATGTGACCTGTTCCGATCAATGTAGAATTGAGTTCTGCGTCGAATAAAGCTATTTCCATCCCACGGCAATATTTCTAAAGAACGAAAACGGTCAACTATACCCCCAAATCTTTTGGTTTTTAAGAAAATTCAAGATCTTTCGGGTTGATCAAAGTATTGTCGGGGAATGAGACCTGTGCCAATCGCTGTAGAATTGAATTCTGCATCGAATGGAGTTGTTTCCATCCCCCGGCAATATTTCTAAAGAACGAAAAACCACCAAATATACTCTCAGTCCTTTGGTTTTTAAGATAACTCAGGATCTTTGGGATTGATCAGAGTTATTCCGGAGAATGAGACCTATTTCAGTCGATGTACAACTCGATTCTGCATCGAATGGATTTGCATGTATGGTCCGGAATTATTTTTGCAGAGAGAAAATCGCGAAACAATACCCATAACTGACATGGTCTTCGCGTTTTTACGGAAAATCAAGATGCATTGGCACAACGTAAGTTTTTCCGAGGAATGAAACTTGTCTCTATCAACGTACAATTGAATTCTACAGCGGATCAAGTCGTCTGTATGTCTCGGAATTATTTCTAAAACAAGAAAATCCCTCAGGTATACCCACAACTACCCTAGATTGTTTCGTTCTTCCCGTAAAATCAACACCTTTTCACTAGATGAAAGTTTGCCGGGGAACGAAACCTGTGCCAATCGCTGCAGAACTCAATTATACATTGATTGGGACCGGTTTCTTTCCTCGGAAAACCTTTGATTCACTTAAGAGATCTTGATCTTCACGAAAAGATGGAAAAATCCGTGTATTTGCAAGTATAGTTCAGGGATTTGTCTTCGTCATAGATAACTCCGATGCATAGAGACAACTTTATCTGATGAACAATTTAATTCTACATCGATTGGAGCTCGTTCTATGCCTCGAAAAAACTTTGGTCATCGCAATTGAGCATGATTTTTCTGTAAAACCGAAAAAAACATGTCGGTTGGGGGTATACCTGAGGGATTTTCTCTCCAGCGAAATAATTCCGGGGCATAGATGCAACTTGATTCGACGCAGAATTCAATTCTACATCGATTGGAGTAGGTCGCATCCCCCAGAAAGACATTGATTAACCACAAACATCCGAAGTTTTCTTTAAACCCAGAAAATTGAGAATGTACTTCAGGAATTTCCTGTGTTCAGAAATATTGCCGGGG